CATCCCCAAACCAACTTATACCTAGCAACAAGCTAGTCCTACTCTTCATTTCATGAATCTTCCTTTCTAATCAGTCTCTTTCATTAACTCATCAGAACATGCTCTTGCTTACTGGTCTCTGCTTTTCTGCTTAGGAAATTCCCCAAGTATAGATTAATCTTCCCTACCCTGGGTGTGTGCTCAGATGCCCCCCTACATTTGTCAACCCCGTCTTAGCCCCACCTCTTTTTGAGGGCTTTATTATGTTAGCTCTCAGCAGTGACTGTGTATTCTAAGATCTTACAGCTTTTACTCTCTTCTTACTCATTTGTAGAGCACATTTTCTGTGCGTACGTTTGTCCCCATTATGCTATAGGTTCCTTTAGGGCAAAGTTCCGATTCAATTCAATACAGTATTATAGTTATTAAGCATCTACTCAGAGCCAGGCACTATTTTAGGTGATGTCATGCTCCAATTTAAAATATATTACCTGACAGAGGGCCGAAGGAAGGGCAGCAGAAAGTATTTATAGAAGGAAAAAAAGGAAACTAGCATTTTCAAGGTACAATTTAATCCAGGCACTGTAGTAGACATTTTCATACACTTTATCTCAATTAATATTCACCATAGTCCTAGAAGTAAAGTTGTTCCCTAATTTTTGTTCACAAAGATACCGATATCATAAGACTGTAAACAATTTGCCAAAGACCACATATTTAGTGAGTGCTGGAGTTTGTAACAAGTTTTGAAACCTATAGTTCCTAGTTTCAAAATTTCTGCTTTTTCCCTTCTATATGACAGTTCCCTTGTCTTTAACTTAGTAGAACAATTCTGTCCCATGCGCAAAAAGGCCAGAAGAAAGACCATTTAATTGATAAGTGTTATCAAGAAAATCTCTTGTTGAAGGCGCCCCAGACCGTCTAAAGGAATGTTGGCTTTTAAAGAGAGTGTTTCTCTTTGCCACTGAAGTCCCCCCTAAATTAGGTGAGACGGTGGGCTCCAAGCTATAAATGAGGTGATAGCACTTTATTTTAATACAATAGTTTGAATTTAGGTGCAATTTTTTTCGTTGAATTTGAGGGATTTATTAAGTGTTTAATCTACCATTTTCTGTGGATTCAGTTCATTTATACCATACTTTTTACCTTGGTGGATTGGACTATTTCCTCCCAGCAGACAGATCTCTAATGAAAGCTTAGATTAAATTCTAATTAACATAGCTAAATATCTAATGGGGTAAATACACAGGGCAGGGGTGTCCACACCACAGCATCGTATAGCTTTCCTTGAACCTAGCGTCCTTAGAAGGGTCTCACCAGTGTGAGAGGGTTATTTCTTCTCCCCCTGCCTTGCTCTGTGCCCTATGTGGGTTGCTGCCTCACCATCTGGCTTCTTGTTGGGTATGCCCAATAGGGTGACTGGCAGAGGGTCAGAAAGCAGAAGGAAAAAGAAGCCAGAATGTGCCCATCACCACTCTGCCACTCCCCACCCCTCCACCCCAATACACACCGGGGCACTCGCTCCCTGCCCACTCACAGTTTGGGAGGGGCAGCTGCTCCCACCAGGTGGCTCTGCTTTCGCGGCTCTGAGCCCTCTCTCCTTGCCCCATCTGCCTGGTCCTGGAGGTTGAATGCCTTACCACACCTTTTCCATTCCTCAGAGCCTGCTCACACCTCTGTATACAGCCCTTCTTCAATAAAACACTCTTGACTTAAACCTTTTGTGTGAGCTGTCTATTTCCTGCCAAGCCTCTGACTGATATACGTAATTAGAGTAAATTATGAAGAATGGCTATGATTACTTCACTTTTGGCTCTTCCTATGGCTTCAGATTTAAACTCAGAATCTGAAATACAAACATGTATAGCTCATGTTTTTACAACCCCAATTTATTGCCCAAACCCCACAGACTAGTTCCTCAGTCCTGACTGGGAATTATTTCTCTTAGAGCATCTTATTTTAGTCCTCAGTCAAAAATAGCCTCTTCCTTTCTACCTGTACATAAAGACCAAAACAATTTTCTGTCCTAGAATCATAGACATCCACATCTAACTCAATGAGAGAAAATATTTCTTGCACTTCCACTGCTTAAGAGAGAAACTAGAAGAAATAGTCCAACCCACATGTGTAAAAAGTACAGTGTAAATAATAAATTGAAACCAAAGAAAAAGCATTTGGTATATATTGTCTTTTAAACATTACAGAGCCAGCCCTGATGGTCTAGTGGTTGAAGTTCAGCGTCGTCACTGCTTTAGCAGCCCAGGTTCATTTCATTTCTTGGAACCATACCACCCATCTGTCAGTTACCATGCTGTGGCAAAGGCTCACACAGAAGAACTAGAGGGACTTATAGCTAGAATATACAACCATGCACTGGGACTTTGGGGAGGAAAAAAAAAGAGGATGATTGGCAATAGATTAACATCTGTAAATTCACTCAGGGCGAATCTTTCCTTGGGAAAAAAAAAAAAAAGCTGTTGTTGTTATTCTTAGCCATGTCTTAAAAAAACAGAAAAACCTTTTACATTAAATTTCTCAGTAAGCTACAAATGTTGCAATCAATGTGTCCTTAAGGACTGAATATTTTTTCTCTGCCAGTTTTGTTACTGTTTTGCCCTCTGTCTTCACGGTTTCTTTGGAATTGGTTCCAGATACATCTTGTATGGCCTAGGGCACTTTGGCCCCAGGTCAATTGTTTGTTCCTCTGGGCTAGGTGGTTTGGAGAGGAGGCAGAAGGCAGACTGGTTGTGGTTGAGTGTAGAAGAGGCTGCATCAATTATTACAACAGCCAACACTGAGCTAAAAGAGCAACGAAGTATGTAACTACTAAATAATTACTATTGCTTTCATTTCAACACTTTACATTTTAGCTCATTTAATCCTTAAAACAAAAGGAAATATTGTTCTTCGTAGCCTGAAGATGAGATATTAACGACACAAAGAGGATAAAGAACTTGTCCAGGGTCCCACAAAAAGAAGTGGCCATACTAGGACAGTCTGTGGTCCAGAGTAGAGTCTGGGCTCTAATCACACATCACTCACACCTGACTGCCCTACTTCTCCCTTGTCTGTTTGCTCAGCTCAGCCCGAAAGGAAGTAAAAAATAAATAAATGGAAACATCTTTTCAGGATACCATTTAAACTTGAAAGAAAATCAAATGTTATCTCTGAAAAAGTCATTTTAGAAATGTCTGACCCATTCTCGGTGGTGGCATAAATGCCCCTGACAGCTGGTTTCTGAAAGCATAGCTCACTGCCATGATGGGGAAAAAAATCCCCAAACCATTTCTGGGTCACTGCTGACATCAGCAAGCCTGGGACAGTCATGGTGGCTCTAAAAATGTGTATAGACTATTGTCTCCCAGCCTCAATCCTTTTCCTGGTTTCCAGGTATGATCATCGTACAGTAACTGCTGTTCTTTTCTACTGGTTTGGACAATATTTGTAATAATACATCTGGAGGCTGACTGCAAGATTTGTAAACATTTATAGCTTTCCAAGCAATTTAATGCTAAAGTTTAAAAGACAATATGTAGCAACAGCTTAATGCAACCTTTTCTTTGGTTTCAATTTATTTACACTGTACTTTTTACCCATGTGAGTTGGATGATTTCTTCCTGCAGACAGGACACATTCCTGCTATCTAGGGCCCTTGATAGAGCTTTATGATGACTGAGGAGCTCCCAGGGTTTAGGTAAGGGGCTCCCAAACCTGCGTGATCCTCAGCATCAGCTGGCCAGAGTTCCACAAATACAAGTTCCCACGCTCTGCCCTGGAGCTCTGATTCTGGTTCTGATGAGGCTCCAAAATCTCCATTTGAATCTCTCCAAATGATTGTAATGGTTTGCCTGCACAAAGATTTCACCAGTTTGCACATCTTGAGAGGCTGGGAACCTCCAATTGGCTCGACAGAAAAATATCTGTTTTTATAACAATTTCAACATCAGATCATTACAAGACTTCACAGACTATATTTACCACTTACCTAAGACTTAATAAAAGCAAAGGATACCATGCAGGAGGAGCAAAGGAGGGCAGGCAAGTATCAGGGCCCTCAGATCCTCTGGGCACAGATCCAGTAAAGTCTTTCTCACTGGAGAGTGGAGCTTTGATAGAGAGAACAAACTGCATATTTCACATTTCAACATGGTTGCTTTCTCTGCCCTGCTTTCCCTCCCCACAAAGACAGGAGTTGATTTTTCTTGGCTATTTACCAAGAGAACTTGGGAGGGTTCCTTGAGGTAAAACCTCTGAATACTCAGAGGCCCTCCTAAAACTGTAGCTCTCAGGATTTTCTTATTCTCGAACTAACCCCCATGCAGCCTCCAGCAATTCATCAAAATCACCATGTAAGTGTTCCTCCCAGTTTGTGGCTTCAGGGTTTCTACTCCCTGTAAACTGCTGTAAACTGTGTTTCTCTCTATTCATCTGACCCTCTTGATTTTGAAGTGGCAGTTTGCCCTATGGTTTCAATTCTCTAATGAGTTCAAATAAAGTTGTTGATTTTTGGGTGCATTTAGCTTTTTTCTTGTTGTAAGGATGGCGTTAGTGACTTCCAAGCTCTTTTCATGGCAGAGTTGAAACCTGATGTCCAAGGATGTTTTGATAAAGAACTTGTGAGTCTATTTTGGAGCATAAATGACAGGAAATAAACAACAAAATATTATACCAGGAATGACGTGCAATCCCTTGCAGGTAAGATGTACAAAACTGAGTTTACTATTTTCCTGTCTATACAAAGGCAGGTTTAAGAAAAAAATCAATAGTGTTGCCAAGCTTATATGAAAATATTTTCTTAATTTAAAAAGTAACCTAAAATCAAGTCCATTTTAGAACATTTTTATAAAAATAAAAACTTTACATAAGAAGCAAAAACTACTAATTTATTACTACACACAAATCTTCATATTCTGTCATTTTGTAGAGGACAAGAACAAACTGACATGTCATCAAAGGAATGTCTCCAGCCAGAGCGATTGTGTCCTCATCCATTCTTGTGTTCTTTCTAGGAACCTTCTAAGGAGCAGCATCGCGCATCTGTAAAGGCTAAATGAATGGTTCAGAGACAAAATTGATCATGATCTGATTGGCAGAGAGTACCGTTCTACAGTAAAGCAAAGTTCTAAAATCTGCCACCTCTTACTGGTTTCCAAGGTATTCACTTACGTACAGAGTGCAAATAAGGCTCATATTTTCACGAACTTGCCAAGTCCTTAAATGTAAGCCATCTAGGCAGCTTTGACTGTAAGCAAGCACTAGAAAGCACTCATCTTATTCTCTTTTGCCAGTAATTTACATTGGTTATCCCGTTCAGTTCATCTACATCATCTTAATTAATGGCATGAAGCTGTCGTTGAAATCTGACAGCTGCGTCTAATATGTATTCCATAGAAGTTTTTTAAAAATGTTTTTATGAATTGTAACAGAGTTCTCATATTTTCTTTTGAATAAGAGTGATGATACATTCTCTACCCTACTCCTAACTTTTGAAAATAAGTTACTATAATGCATTTGGGAATACATATGTACACACAGACACATACAAATAATATTTATTTAGGGTCACAAAAGATTTTACGCTGCTATTTTCCATATGCCTCACAAAAAGATATTGATATTTCTAAGTTTTCTGGCATGATGATATATCAAACAAGGAATGATTTAATTAGGTATTCAGAAACCATTCAGTTTTATGTATATGTAATTGAGAATACAGATTAATTGCAAAAAAATACATTGTTACCAAAAGGAATATTGATTTTATTGTACGGATGGAAGGTGATTGCTATGGTTATTGAAAACAGCATTTTTGGCCTCTTAGGGTTTATTTTGTACTATAATTTCAAGTATTTGAAAGTCATATTCTTTCTGCAAGTACAAAATTATTCTTTCTCACATCAAAAAGTGATTCCTTTATGTGCCTTTCCCACTTCAGCACAAATTATTTACTACTGAATGGCTCCATAAGACTACAGGAAATATGCTTACCTGTTTAATATCCTTTTAATCAAAAGGGGAATGAAATTCACAGGGAATATTTAGTTATATCATGAGGTTGGAAATTTGACTAACTTCTTATTTTCTTATCAAAGTGTCGATAAAGACAATTTTCTACATTAGTTTTGATCTTTATTATTTTTATTTGATGTTTCTGTTTTCCTAGAAAGAAAGCAAATACCTGACTAAAGGTGATAAGGCAGATGTAACCTCTATTTGTACTTTCTCTGCACAAAGGTAGAAAAAAGATAAAAAGGAAAGGTTGAATTTTTTTCTGTCATCATACAAACTATATTGTGATCAGCCTGTAGTGTTGTATTGTGTGCAGAGAGATCTCTCCAGAAATTTGATTTGTTGAAATAAGTAAATAATCATCCTCATCTGTTACTAGATGATGTTCCATCCTAATTTTGGTAAGGTACTTTCCAAAACAATGTAAAAAGAATTGTGAAGCATGTGCTATCTTAAATTGCAGATATGTTAATATTTGTTATAAGCCTGAAGTGGGCCTTGGAAATTTCCTTTCTAAATCACCTGCAATTTCACAGGTCTGGTACTGTCTCTGGAGGGATCACAGAAATGATGAAGTAGTGATGGTAAGTCTCTGTTTCCTGCCTTTCAACCCCAGTGATCTTTCCAAGTCCAATATCTATTAGCTCATCTAGCTGGCCTGGAGCACAGGATGCAACCCAGCTAATAGTTGAGGGCTTGATGTATGCAAGAAAGAGAGGAACATTGTCACAAGGAGGGGGCCTCTGCCCAGACAAGCTAAGAAACATAGCACCAAGGATCAAAAACAGCAAAGAACTTCCTTTGCAGAGGTAGAGGGATTCGCTGACTCTCCACAAGGTGCCGGCTTTGAGAACAACAGATTGGCACAATTTGAGCGGTTTCAGTTTTTCTGAGTGGAGTGCTCATATGGTAAGAGATAAGGCAATTAGGCCCCTGGAGGCCATTCTGATAGTCTTTGAGAGGGAATAATATAGAGAAAATGAAAAATAAGTTGTCTAGGGATACAAAAACAGTGTTCTAATGATATAGCCAATGAACTGTTAGCTGACTTGTGACTTGTGAATCTTTATCCACAAATCCTTGATCAGTTATTCATTTCTCATTAATTGGGGAGGAATTTGGATCTATTTAGGGGCTACACAAAACTGAACCTTGCTTCAAAGTGGGCACCAGGCTAGAAAAATCTGTGCCCATTGGAGCCCTGCCACTCCCACCAAATGCAAATCAGGATTTCCCAGTCTCTGGGCAGAGACATACTGGGTCACAGATGTCCTGGTATCAATCCCTGTCCCCTTGGGGAAGCTGAATGGAGCCCAAAACAGTCAGAGCCCCAGACCAGCAAACCAGAAATATGCTCTCATGGATGGAGAATAAAATAGGAGGTAAGATGAAGAACTAAAGGGAGAATAAGGCAAACACATATTCAAATTCTGTAGTCACCTCAGGAAGCCACACATGTACTGGAGAGGGACAAACCCTTTGTAAATCCTTTGGCCTTTGTTTCAACTCTCCTTCTACTCTTGAGATGACTCAGCTGAAGGGCAGCAAATGGACTAGAGGGCACTGGTGCTGATTTGCAAATGCTCTAAGTAATGACATCTGAGCTCTGGTCACCGGCTTTTTCAAACATTTCTCATAATCAGAAATCTCCCGTTGTCACATGCTCAGTGAGGGTACTCCTGCTCCCTCCCAATCAATATGAAAAGTTGCACAGTGAGAAAGGTGGCTTCCTCTGCTGGAGCACTTCCCAAGGGGCATCCAGTTGCACCCAGCTCCCCTTCCTGTGATAAGAGCCTGGGAACCACATGCATTCTGCTAATTTTTTGCTTTCCCAATAAACCTGGCATTACTCAGGAGAAAAGAAGCCTCCTTATTCTGTGGTTAGACTCTGGCTTAAAAACTAAAATTAATTGCAGAGACACAGAATGGTGGAAAGGTAAACCTCAGTCTTTGAAGTCACAGTCAGCCTTGATTTTGACCGGTGCCTCTGGCACATAATGATTGTGAGGCCACAGGAAATATGTGTAATTTAGGATATGGATGTGGATGATACTAATGTCTACCTGCTAGATTTTTATACTGAATCTGGGCCAAAGCAGGTGCTCAATAAATATTAGCAGGTGTGTAAGCATAGTGTACATCAGAGGATGCAGCAGCACATAGTAGGTACTTTGTAAAAGGTAATCTCATCTACTCCTTTTCTCCCAACTCAACCTATCAGCCTTTTTCCTTCATTACCAAACTTTGTCCCATTAATTTTGGCTATTTATATAGATTAATTTATCCCTCATAAGATGAAGGTTAATCATGACTGAGTATAAAACAGGAACCACAGTAACAACACCAACGACAAAGCTGCAGTCTGTGAAGACAATTCCCAAGAAGCATCCTCAGAGTGAACGGAGCAATGGCAGCACTTACAGGAATTTATAGGAATGCTCCAAAGGAGACATGAGATGTCACTTTAAAAGTTCTGGTCGGCCTGAATAAAATCTGTTCATTTTTTGTGGTAGCCAATCACTTCCTTTATTCTACCTCATTTTAGCAGACATTTTTTTTTTCTTCAAGACACCTGCTTTCTTCAAGAGATTGTGCTAAGCATTGCTAGAAGGAAAAATTCAATAAAACACAGTCATTATACTACCTAAATCATGAGATTGTTTTGAGAATTAAAATAAGAGATTATATATATGATACAGTTTGTAAAGACCTATGTTCCAGGAATCTTGCTGTTATAAATGACTAAATGAACTTGATTAAACAGACACACTTGATAAGCAGAGAGTGGGGCTTAGTGGATCTGGTAATCAAAGTCCAGGACTACCCAGATTCAGGCATGGCTAGATTCAGGCTCAGGTAAGCAACAAATAATCTGTTCCTGTATCTCCAACAGCTCTGCTCCAACTCTGCTTCCCGTGTGTTGAATTCATTTTCAGATTTTGCATTGCCAAGGTGCCTACCAGTAGCCCTAGGCTCACATTCACACAGTTTAACAACCCAACTAGAAAGAGAAGTTCTCCTTCCCATGCATCCAGCAAAAGTCCTGCATTGTGTCTCATTAGGTGACTCTGTTCAGGTGACCCTCTGCGAATCAATCAAGGAAGTAGATGGAATGCTTGAATTGGCATGGTCTGGTTCAGTTATTTGTTCCTACTTCTGTGGGTTAGACTGAAAATAGGAGAGTAAAATTAAGTGTTTCGTGCTGAAAGTAAAATGCATATTGTACAAACAACAACAAAAAAACACATCCCTTAAAATAGACTACAAGGTTATTAGAATTATATTAAGACACAAATTCCAGAACTCAACATAAGTTTGTTTCTCTTTCACATTCAAGCTGCTAAAGGTAGTCAGTTTACAATACATTCTATGCTGTAAGGCAGAGGTCAGCAAACTACAGCCTGGAGGCCAAATCTGGCCAGCCACCTGCAATGTGGGTAAAGTTTTATCGAAACACAACAATGTTCATTCACTGATGTGTTTGCTAAAACAGAAAAGCTGAGTTAGTTGGAAGAGAAACCATCTTGCCCACAAAGCCTAAAACATGTACTATTTGGTCCTTACAGAAAAATAAAAATGCCAAACCTTACTCTAGGCCATAAAGCAAGCCCCGATATATTCTGAATGATGGAAGTCACATAAACATGTTCTATGGCTGCAATTGTATTAAAGTAAAAATCTACATCAAAACCGAATGAAAAAACTATTAAAAATCTGGAAAATAAAAATAAATTTTTAAATAACTCATGGATCAAAGGCGATATCACAATCAAAATGATAATGAAAACCTAAAATATAATTTGGGGGATATAGCTAAGGAAGTGGTTAGCAGAAAATTTCTATTTTCAAATACACATATAAGAAAAGTTAAAAGACTAAAGTTAAGTATATAAGCTTCCTTCTTTGCAATCTAAAAAAAAGAGAAAATTAACCCAAAATATATAGAAGGAAGGAAATAATACAGTTAAGATTGAAAATTAATAAAAGAGAAAATGGATGAAGAATAGTGAATATCAATCAAAAAAGGTGAAACTTGGTCTTTTAAAAATATTAATATAATTAATAACACTCTATCAGAACAAGGCCGAACAAAACAGAGAAAGACATCAGAGAGAGAGAGAAAGGGAGAGAGAACATGAAAAAATGAAAGGGGAACATCATAACAAATACTGTAGCTAGTCAAAGGGGAAGAGATACTATGAGCAATTTTAGGACAGTAAATTTGATAACTTAGATGAAATGGACAAATTGCTTCTCAATTCTTTTGAAAAGCATAGCTTACCAATTTGGACACATGAGGAACTAGAAAATCTATATAGTTCAATATCTGTTAAAGAAATTGAATCTGTCATTAAAGGCCATGATATAAAGGGATCTTCTGGCACACATGACTTTCCTGGTGAAATGCAGCATTTAGGGAAGAAATCATACCAACCTTACATAGCCTCTTTTAGAGAGTAAAATATAGTGGGGGAGGGATATTTCCCAACTTGCTTTATGAGGTATGCATATCATTGATACCAACACCTTAGTGGAAATACAGACTAATTCTCCTGAGGAGTCTATGTGCAAAACACCCCTTAAAATACTGGCAAATAGAATCCAGTAGTTCTTTCAAACTTATCAATATTTGCTTAGGATAAGAAACACACCAAAGAGAAAATCTCTGCTCTGGGTATCTTGAGAACATTATTGCTTCCGGGCCTCAGTGAAGTAAAGAACGGTCCGTTCTCATTTCTTCAACGTTGAGCGTAAACGAGTCCTGGTCTCTGCACACGTCCCTGGGAATGAGAAATACGGTCTGTGACTTCCAGGCGTTTAAGACTCCGTTGCTAGGTACGCGGTTTCCTGGAGGCTCTGGCTCCTCTTCCCTGCCCTTGCAGGATTCTCTCCTGGCAAAGGGTCACCGGGGCGCCCGGGCAGGGGTCCTCTCCCTCCTGCCCCACCTGATCTCCAGCCGGGGCTACACTGTGGGCCGGGGTGCCACTTTAGGCGCATCTAGGACGCATGGCCGAGATGGCGCTGGGTAGAAGTACAGGTGAGAGATGAAATGAAATAGCGTATTTTTTTTTTCCTAGGAGCGAAGTACTTTTCCCCGGGAGGGAATAAACTTTGGTGTTGAAACGGCGCACGTAAGCCTGCGCCGAAACAGAGCAGATTTAGTGGACACAGCGGGTCCTGGGGAGGGCACTGTCCCCAGCAGTGAGAAACAACTACCCAGCCACCCCTCCCGCTAAAATCTGGGAGAAGAGTCTCCCGCTTCTCCAGCAAGCCTGGAGCTCACCTCGCAGTCTCTGGCCTCCGAATCCGGAAAAGCACAGCGCTTGGGGCAACCTGTGGGCTCACGCACGAAATACGAGCACCAAAGTGGCCTTCCGCTGGAGAGGTTGATGAGCACTTGGAGCAAGGGGCACAGACACGAACGCAGCGCCAGGAAGAGCGAGCGAAGCCCAAGCTGCTGCCTGCGAGAGTAGACCCTTCCCTCTTTGGGCAAAGGGACTGCTATAAAGTCGGTTCCCTCAGGCGCAAGGGCAGACTCAGTGAAGGATTTACGCGCAGGTCAGCAACTTTGGTGCCTGCAGAGTGGGCGCCAGGGCGCCCTGCCCAGTGGATTTGCAGTGCGCACTGAGTTAGGGTGATGAACCCCGGAGATAAAAACAGCCCTGGCGGTGCTGTGGAGAGTCAACCTCCAGAATCCATCATCGGCTCAGGTGTGATGGTGACTTTTCTACCGTGGGTATTCTCCGCGTAGACCAGAGCCAGAGCTGGATGGAGAGGGGTCTGACCCCGCTGCAGTAAAATGCCACTTAGAGTACACAGCACTGTCATAAACATTACACCATTGTGCTAGAACCCTTCAGCTTCTGATGGGTAACAGATATGCAAAGGAACTGAGAAAAAGAGCAAGGGGCGTCTGAGGACGTGGCATATTGCATTTCTGTGTGAATCCGATTTAGGGAGTAGGCACATGGGGTGAATAATAACATGGCTGGATTTCCCATTCTGAGTTCTTTCTTGTAAAAAGTATCTCAGTGGATTTCCATTTACATCGTGAAAATTATTCAGGAGGATGCTAGAACAGAAGCAAATATCAGAACTCTTCCTAAGCCAGCATTGTTTGCTACCCATTGGAAACAAAATAGTACCAAGGTTGAAAGTCAGGCAGAAATTTATAGAGCAACTTGACATTGGTAGGACAGCCAAGTGTGACCAATGGACTCCTCTGATTGAGCAGGGCAAAGATCTGTTCTCGTGTTCTCTTCTGAGAGGCAAGGGTCTTCTAGGCCTGGCTACAGCACCAGTTGTGTACAATAGGACCACGTTAGTGTGGTATTTTTTGTTTGTTTCTATTTATGCTTTTTTTTTGGTGAAGAAGATTGGCCCTAAGCTAATATCTGTTGCTGATCTTCCTCTTCCCCCCCACCCCCAAAGTTCCAATACATAGCTTTTTATCCTAGCTGTAAGTCCTTCTAGTTCTATGTGGGATGCCACCACAGCATGGTTTGATGAGCAGTGTGTAGGTCTGCACCCAGGATCTGAACTGGCTAACCCCAGCCACTGAAGGGGAGCACAAGAACTTACCCACTGGAGCACAGTCCACCTCAAGTGTGGCATTTTTGAAGGTTGGTTCTATAATCGTAATCTCAAAGTGTATTAAACCAAGAATCCATTCTTTCTTTGAAAGATCATCTTAATGTAATTATAATTTAAGAGGATAAATTGTTGGAACTGATACTGAGGAAGGAGTGAATGTAATTTTGAAAACATCACACAATTTGCTTTGTTTTTTAATAAAAGTTGAAAAAACATTAATATCCAGAGCTGGCTAAAATTGCTTTAAAATCTTCTTCCTTCCCAGTCAACATTTCTCTGAGAGAGAGTTTTATTATGAGTGTTGAGACAAATCATATAAACAGATTGCATATGTCCTGTGAATAGTGTTGTCATCCTCCAACTGAGATCAAAAAAGTCAATAAACAAGAGGCAATCTTTTGACACATTAAAACTTTAAGTATTAACATTAATATTAGTATTTCTTCTGGATATTTTAATACGGGAATTTGCCATTTCACTCATGAGTTTTAAAATTATAATTGCAGAATGACAAAAAGTGAAGAATTTACTAGAAATTCTCTATATTAATTGCATACAGACTTATTTCAATGAATAATTCGTTCAGCTTGAGTCATTCTTTCCTTTCTGTTATGCTATTTTGACTATATCTATTCAAATGCAATTTTAGGCTGTTGAATAAATAATGTAATTGGGGCTTGCCTTTTTATTTCTTCTATTTTTTTATTTGTCAAATAATGCATTTTTTATTGTATTTTACAAAAGCAGCCGTCTGGAAATGAAAAAAATAAAAGGCTCTTCCCCACCGAGGGTATGAGGACCCCTGACCTAGATCTTGTTTTTCCTTCATCCTTTGCTCTGAACTCTTGAGATTCTGACCAAACTTTATGGAGAAGGAATTGAAGTAAAGCCATTGAAAACTTTGCAACCATGTGGTAACAGCATAAGTTCCATTTAATTTTCTTCAAGTAAGTATTTTCCTGGGAAGCTTCATAATGAATCAAGTC